AAAAAAGTGACTTTTCAGTTCATCAATTGTCTTTTTCACTCTCACTCTCTCTAACTTCTAATTTTATTCAATTTTGTAATGGGAATTAGAATGGTAAAAAATAAAAAATAATAAAATATTATTTTTTATCATTGTACTTCCTGGTTTATCTTTGTATTTTTAATTTTAATTTTTTATCATTTTAATCAAGACCATTTTGGTCCATTCATTTATTTGAATTATAATTTTAACATGACATTTCATTTGTTTAATTTCTTGAATCGTAGCCATAAATTTGTGTTCAGGAATTTTCATTATGTAGAAGTTTTTGTGTTAAAATAGGGACAAAGTTGACCACTTTTTAGAAGAACAGTGACTAAAATGAATAAAAGATGAAAATATAAAAATCAAAATGAACTAAAGTTAAAAGTAAGACACGAATAGAATTTAAAAGAAAAAAAAAGTGGGTTCGATATTTATACACGATCTAATTCTAACTTCAGACCTTCAATTTGTGATGGGAAAGAGAATAATACACTCTAATCTTGATTTGGTGATGATCTTCTCTTCATTTGCTCCTTGGAATGATGAAGCTCAATTTAGGATCAATTTACCTAATTCGAGGATTTGATCGAAGGGGCAATGAGAAAATAATCCACTCTCTGAAGGAGTTAGAGAGGAAAGTATGGAGCTTTGCTCTCCTGTAAATATTTTCAACTGCGTTTCAAAAAAAATACTCTAAATTTTGATTTGGTAATAAAATTAATAACTTACTGAAATTGTAATAGAAGAATAACACTTAAAATCAAGCTGCATAAAAAGAATGTGAGCGAACTTACCAAATTTCAGAAGTAAAATATACACCATACTCAAAATATCAACACTAAATTTATAATTCAATTTAAATATAATTTGCCAGCCATGTTATTTTTTATTTGGTTTTGTATTTTAATGTTAAAAAAAAAGAAGAGAAATCTGACAAAATCTTCATGTTGTCCGAATAAAACAACAGGGTAAATAAATTAAAAAATTGAGAAAATAAGATTCCCTTTTGGAGTGTTTAATCTGTAATAGTGTATGATTCTGTCTGCAGAATTTTTTTTTTTTTTATACTTTTAACTGACTTTTTATTTATTTATTTTTATTTAAACATTAAATTTAGAGAGACAACAAAAAAGTCAGTGATATTGAGACGTTGGACCAATAAAAAAATTTTAATTAATAATCAACCTCCTGAATTTACTTAATTCGATGTCACTTTTCTTCTCCGAAAAAAAAATCATGTCAGTTCTAGGTGGGATTCGAAAGATATGTTGCTGCTAAAGCTATTATATTAATTATTCAGATTAATTACATAAAAACACTGGCCGATTTACCTATCTTTCGCTTACTACCATTCAAAATTTAATAAATAAGAGAGATGATTTTGAAAAGCATAAATTTATCTATTTTTTAAAATATTAAAAAGCATCAAAATTTTTAATAATTGTTCTGAATGACGAATAAACCATCACTCAATAAAAAAAAAATTTAAGTTTTTGAGTCGGTAAATTTAATTCATATATTGGATATCTAATAATGGCAGATACGAATATGAATGCTGAACAATAATCATGTGCTTAAGTACTATTTGTTCTTATGTATTTAAAGAAATTTTTTCCTTATTTATAGGACTCAATTTGAGATGAAATAGAAAATAAGGATTCCAATAAATATTCTTACAAAGTTTAACTAACAAAATACTCAAAGTCCTATTAAAAAAATTGTCCTATTAAAAAAATGTTCCAACCCAAATAATTTTGAACCTAACCATGAAATCAAGCAAATGAAAAACACACAAACTTAACAATAAAACTTCGAAATCTAACTAGTTTATTTAATAATTATTTTTAGTTCAATCAATATATAAGAGTGGAAATTATTTCACAATATCAAATAATTATTTTTAGTTCAAACAATATATAGGAGTGGAGATTATTTCCACTGTTGATATTATGGTAGAGAATATATAATTAATTAAATTATGTTTAAGTTGATAATTGTACCACTTGTTTACGTTTAATTTAAATAAAAAAATTAAAATTAAAATTAACTCACACACCAAAATCATCGGTAAGAATTAATTAAAAATTTCAAACTATTTTTTTTATTATTCTTCTGGAGTGGTAGTGCGCCTCTTTATCTACTTTTATTTCATTTTCCATTTTTCTTAATATTTTTAATTTGGTATTCATATTTTAGAAGCTTCTAATTAAGCTTATTTTCAAATTTTCAATCCGTTTTTTATGGTTTGGTCAAAACCGACCATCTTTATTGATTCATTAATATGTGCCGCAATTTCAATTTAACAGACAATGTGAGTTTTAAAACTACTTTAACTCTATGAAAACTATTTTAGACTATGTTATTAATTTATTTTCTAATTATTATACCTAATGTAATGTTATTATTATTTCCCTTTCACTCTCGACAGGATTCAAAGTGAACTAATTATTTCTTAGTTTTAAATTTATTTATTTTTAAGGAAAAAAATCAAAATAGCTACTTAAATATAATATTATAACTTAAAATTTTTAATTTTAGAATAAATTCTTATTTGTTAAAATTTGAAAAAATCATTAGAATATAGCTCGAGACAATATAGTAAAAAAAATCAGCAAATAAATTCCGCCTACGCAACTCCAAATTTAATAAATCTCCTCTTCTAACACAATTTCAAAACTTTAGGCTAACTTTACTAAATTATATTAAAAAAAAAAAAAATCTGGACTAAATTGAAATTAAATTATACAATAAGGGACTCAGTTGTTAATTCAACAATTTTTTTTTACCACGAAGTAAGAGATTAAAACGCGATTTTTTACTGTGATCACAAATGCGTTAGTCTAGTGAGTAATCGCACAATGAGCGTGGAAAAATCGTACATCTGTCTTATAACGACTCATTGCGGGCTCCACAATCTTCATGACTTCCACGTGGCAACTCGTCTTACGTGGCACTGCTGACGTGTTTCCTGGCGCCTCTCCACTTTTCCCATTCTTTTAAAAACCCACGAGAGGGCTCCTTCCCGTTTCATTTTCCATTTCCAAAGCCACTGAACAAAGACGAAAACGAGTGAGAAAAAAAGGAAAAAAATCTCTTCAAAAATCTATTTCTCTCTAGATTTCTTTCTCTGTTCTTGAATCGAAAGTTTCAGATCCGTTCGAGGAGGAAAAAATGGCGGAGAATTGCGGTCGAAAGCTCTTCGTCGAGGTCTGCAACGCCAAGAATTTGATGCCGAAAGACGGCCAAGGTACGGCCAGCGCTTACGCGATCGTCGATTTCGACGGCCAGAGGCGGCGGACGAAGACGAAATTCAGAGATCT